AATGATTCATAAACATGCAACAATCAGTGTAATATAATTTCTTGTGAGTTAGACAAATAAGTGAACCTGAAAGTGTTTTCAAGAACAAGTTATGACTTTTAACTTCTACTTAAAAACACAGCATAGTCTATATACAAGGAACCTAAAAAGAGGGTGGGTTGTGAGGCACAACTTTTCCTAGTCTATAAAATCTGAGGCTATTCCAGTAGCCTTTCAGAGAGAGTTTCCTGGTGTGCTGAAGTATAATCCTTAGTGGGCATAGTGGGCAAAGTTTCTTAGCTTTGAACATTTCTCTACTTATGATGATTGGTATCATAGTTCAGGTACTGAATACTACTTGGTCCTGAGATGAATGCCTAATGAGGTGGAATTAGGCCTATGTTACACATGAATGAAGGGAAGCTTGTAGCAGTTGAGGTACTTTTCCAGTCTCACATAATTTATAAGTGATGGAAGAAGGATACAAACCCTCAGTCCCAGCTCTGCACCTCAGTGTTCCTAGCTCCCATCCCAAAGGGCTGGGGAAGGCGTTCTCTGTTGTGAGTTGTTTATATACACCCACTTCCTCCTCCCCACTGTCAGCACATCAACAGCACAGTGTTCTTCCATGCAGTAATATTGTGAGTTAACTGAAAGGCAAAGGCAACGTATTTGATTTGACCACTAGTAATTAAATTCTTTTGCTTCAATGTTTCCTTTCATACCAGTATGTGCAGAATTTCTAATATTGTGTTAAAACCTGGGCTTTGTAGTCTCCCAAGAACCTTAAAGKTTGGAGGAACTTGTTCCCCTCATTCTCTGACATTAGCTCAAACCTTTTTACATCCCCCCAATATGCAATTAGGTAGTTTTTAAATTTTTAACTTTTTTTTAGTTGTAGATGGACACAATACCTTTAATTAATTAATTATTAATTAATTATATGTGATGCAAAGGATCAAACCCAGTGCCTCATGCATGCTATGCAAGCACTCTACCACTGAGCCACACCCCAGCCCACAATAAGGTATTTTAATGGAGATCAGACTGTAAAATCAGCTTCCATAAGTAAAGTGGTGTGGAATACTTCTCTCATTTTCACGCCAGTACTAATCTATAACACTCCTGGATGCCTCTAAGTCATACTGTATCTCAATCTTCTCTACTGCCATCTGTTTCTGTTTCTTCCAAACATTCTCTTTGGTTCCCATTCAAGAGCTAGACCTAAGTGAGTCTCTGTAAAGAATGTGGGTAGCCAATACAAATATCCCTTCTCTTTAGATAAGACAACATTATGACAAAGCTAATTATCTATTAATTTTTACTTTACAATTTGAAGAATCCACTGTCATATTAATTCTGGATAGCCCCAGAAGGTCCAAAAGATGTGAACTATCATAGAACAATCAAAATGAGGAGAGGCCATTTGAGGAACAAGAAGAGGCACATCTGGTTTGTTAATCTTGCTAAGGTCTTTAAATGCCACCTGTCTTCCCATTCTTCTCTGGCTAACATCATCCCTTAGGCTAAAAGCTTTAAAAATTATTTGGGGTCGGGCATGGGGGTGTAAAAAACTTCTTGAGAAACTAGTTTGAGATTTTAATTCTGTATTTCATCTGCCAGACACTGAAATGCAGTTAGCCGCAGCAAGTGTTCCTAATAGATAAGGGAATTGTCGCTTCACATATAATTACATTGAGTCTGACGGTGGACATAGCCAACCATCTCATCGTCACACTATTAGAAGTGCCAGGAAGTCTGAAAAGAAACCATTTCGAGGAGAGTCGGGGCTACTTTTATTTTACTTCAAACCAGGGTTATCATGGAATAAAACTGATAATTCTTGTGGGAAAATGATTTTTGGAAAATAAAAAAAAAGGGGAGTAAAGGGTATAAAAAACTGYCTGTTGTGACTGGCAGGAAGTTCAGGCATTTTGCGTTCTTTTTTGTTTCCTTTGGAATGTTAAACAGGTTGGGTTCTTTTTAAAAGAAAAYATTTTATTCAGAACATTCTCCCATGAAAGCCCTCTTTGACAAAGTGTCAGTTTTTGATATATTAGTAYATGTCTGCCTACATTTTATATTCAAAAAAAGACAAGTCGTGTTTGAACAACTTTTGACAAGCATGGGGATGCTTAAACTTCCATAGAACTGACTCTTTCCATRTAATGCTGTAGTCTGTCTTATACTTTCTATTCTGTACCATTTCATGACCTTTTCAATTATGCCAAATTGTGGTTGAAAAAAAATTGAAGAATAATTAGAACAGGAAAACTCAACTCATCAATAAAAAACTTTTATTTATTTTTATGTGGTGCTGAGGATTGAACCCAGTGCCTGACATGTGCCAGGCAAGCATTCTACCACTGAGCTACAACCCCAGCATAAAATACTTTTAAACATATAATTCTGAAATTTACTGGGAAAGAGAACTACAGATACAGTCCTAAGTGAAAGTCATAAATGAGGAACAGGAAATAAGGCAAAGAAATTTCTAATCAACTACCCAAGGAATCTCAAAAATTCAGCCACCTCTTACTTAGATTTATCTACTAAATTACAAATTTCAAAATAAAATCCTCTGTTTACAGGCAATGCAGTGTCTCTCTACTGGAAATCCCACTTGGATTTCCATAGGCACCTCAAGACAACACTTATAAAACCTCTCCCGCTACCCCAAATTGCCAGTCCTCATGTGTCCCCCGTATTGCAATGCTATAGAATGAAGGTTGCTCTTGAGTTTCTTCTGCCCACTCTCTACTCTGCCCTTGTTCATTCATTCATCCAGAACCTTGTCTCATTCCTTCAACATTCAAGCTACTTCTTGTTGGCCCAGATTACTGACCCACTCAGTCAGACTAATTTCTCCTCTTTGTCTTGGTTTCACTTGGATGTCTTATCGTCAGAAAGATTCCTCCGACAATTTTGTCTCTGGGTCCTTTCTCTAGATCCTTAGTACACTGTTCTTGCCAATCAAAGTCCCTGTCCCATCTTGATGTGATTGCATATTTACTTGCCTGGATGGACTACCAGCTCTTCAGGGCTCAGCTATGTATTTCTTGTTTATTGTTAAATCTCTACTGCTTAGACCAGTAATTGGACTACTTGAGATGCTCTCACTTTGTTAAAAATGATTAATGAGGACTGGTGCACAGCTCAGTGGTAGAACACTTGTCCAGCATTCATGAGGCTCTGGGTTCCATCCCCAGCATGTGCATGTGCGTACACACACACACACACACACACACACACACACAATGAGGGGGGAGAGGGAGAGAGAGATACATAAATGAATCACTTGGGTGAAAAGTTCATATATGATAGAAGCCTTTACTTTTTTCCCTTTTGGTGATAATAAAAACTGTTAAATTTAACCACATTTAAAAATAATTTGAGTTGACATGTGCTAATGCTCCCATTTGACTATTTCATTTAACTGGAACAACAAGTTTCATAAATTAGTTTTCTCAGACTAACTCTGTCTACAAAGAACAGCTCAAGGTAGACAATATAAACATTGGGCATAGAAGGATGTAAAGTTCTGGAATGCCATGCTTGGATTTGAATTTGAGACATAGAATTCCAATGGTGTCAAGGATGAACAGGAGCAGAAAAGATTTATGGAGACCAGTGCATACCACCTGATGTCACTGAAGCCTTTCCATGACATTATGGCTGGAGAAATTTTAGGGGAAGGCTGTGACTGGAAAAGGAGAAAATTTGAAATCAGTACCCATTAGTGGGCCAGAGAACTGGAGCTGGAGAATAGACCATCCTATGAATATTTTTTATTACATAATGAAGGGCTGTAATAATCAATATACTCTTGAAAGGGCCTTAAATCTAATGAAGTGGCTGTGCATAACTAAATTACAGCTATGACAAATTCAGGGAATTGGTTGAGAGTTCTTTGCATCCAAAATTCAAATAAGTAATCAAAATGAAATTACATCAGCTCCCCCTCAGACCACCTTTGAAATACAGGAGGCATTTATTAAGACTACCCAAAATAACATCATGACATAACTGCTTCCATATTTCATGAGTGCCTCTGGCTAAGGAGGAGGTTGGATGGAGCCAGGAAGSGGAGGGTATGTGAGGGGGAAGGAGGGAGAAAGGGAAGAAGCTCCTTGCAAGGAGATAAGTAGAACTCTTATTTTAAAAATTGCCTCAGCAGTACTTTTCTTAAGTCAAGATTAAAAATACGATGAGCTTACAGAATGCTATTCTCCACAGCAAAAGTAATATAAAAAACGATTTTTTATTCCCATATAAATTACTTAACACAGCTGCTCCTCGTTTTCCAGATTAGTGCTGGCACGGATGGGCCATTCTCTATAAAAGAGATTCGTTCTTGGTATTTTTCAGTCTCTAGCTTTCAGTATTTCTTTGTCTCTTAAAAGAGCTCTTATTTCATAATATATTGAAATACTTCACCAGGAATACACACGGAGTTGTTTGCACCGGCTCTCTTCTAGGCTTCCTGGGGGCAATCATGTGGATGGTAGCAGAAAACAATTTCAAGGACAATCATAATGATGAATAAATTACAGCATAGAGTACATTGTCTCCATTGAAGAAAGGCATTTGTCTTATGGAACTGTATTTCTGTGTTAAAAACAGTTCTCCCCATCCCCTACACCTGTCCAGAATACTTCTATATCGAAATTCTCATTTCAAAACAGTGCTTCACACTGATTTTGAGGAATGTGAGTTCTTCACAGTCTTTTCTGCAATATGCTTTTTATCAGATCAGCAGAAACAATGTGAAGACACCTGTCGCAATAATTTCAAATGTCTATCATCTACCAAATCATACATAAAMGATCCATGTTTGCAATGTGGTCCTTGAATGAAGGACTTTTCCAAGACAAACAAATGCTGTCAAAAATATAAATATATGTCTTGTAAGAAAAAAGTCAGTCGTATCATTTGCAGAAACTTACAGTTTTTATTTTTATCTTTAATCAGAACCAAGAGAACATTTTGGAAAGAACTAATCTTGTTTTTCATTCACACAGAGAGTGATTTGTACATGCACGCCTACTCACAGGTATAGACATCATTCAACTAAACTTCACAGAGCTGAGGTTTGAAATGGAGTTGGATTGGCAGCAAAGCATTCATTGAATGTTACTCAAGGTAAATGATGAAAAGCATTCATCCCCTCACCCCATGCCAGCTCCCCCCAACAAGAACAAGTA